TCGAATTTGATTTGTTTCGTTTTGTTTCATTCTGGTCCGTCACACTAACAAATTAGAAAGACAAAACACCTCCTTCCAGTACGACTATTGAAGTTTTTACTGCTTGAAAACTTAACACATTTACATGTTTCGGTCCCTATAGACTATCATCAGAGGGACATGTTCGTTCCAAGACAGTTTATTTTTTGGAAATGGGGTCTCAATTTCGACGAGATGAAGGGGTTTATCTTTCTGAATAGGCGCCCTATATGTTGCGCCGCAACTTCGCACAAGTGTACCTGTACACTTAGGCAGCGTCCAGGTGATGGCATTTGCGCTGTATGGACAATATACACTGCTATGAATAATGCAAAGTGTACACAGCAGATCTGTCAATACAGGCTTCTGCAGCAGAATATTATTCTTATTACTACCAGTACGCTTCAGCCCTTATATATTTTCCTCCGAAACGTCGGTTGACTTCCAACGGACTATACACCGCTATATACCAGTAGATAGAATTCTTCATAAGCACTGCTGAGAGAAACTCAACTCCAACAATTATTAAAATGTCCAGTACAGTAAAGCAACTCAGGCAAGCTCACTGCTCATGAAGTAGATTACATGACCATCAGTGCACAGCGCGTCTCCCTGCAGCGAGCAGGCGATGGAGACAAACCGTTTTGTATTTCAGCAAGAAAGAGAAGCATTCTCCTAAAAAAAGGGCTAAAATAAAGAATAAATGTAATTAAGCAGATTTCTGAAATTAGGAACTGTGCAAATTGGAAGCTTTCAAGGCGACATGATGACGCAAAGACTTCTGCTACTAACACGCTAAGCTTTGTGGCTTGTTATACACACTAGCATAAACAGTAGAGAGAATGTCGTGTTACAAATAAAGTAACATAAAATATTATGCAATTTCATACTCCCATATTATCCTTTGTAAGACGGTGGTAACTATATGCACCTCTTGTTTTTTTATTGCTAGTGGGGTGGGACTAAGTCCTTTGTACTGCGGCCAATTCTGGCCTATTGTACCAGCCCCAGATGATAGGTGAGGGTGATTGTGGAGCAATTGGTGGAATGGAGATTGGCAGGGGAAACCGAAGTACCCGGAGAAAACCTGCCCCAGCGCCACCAGAACTCCCACTTGACTAGACCCGGGATCGAACCCGGGCCGCCGCGGTGGGAAGCCAGCGACTAACCGCTTGAGCTACGGCGCGGCCCTACCAATTGTTTTAATATCGTACGAATTTAAACAAAATTCGAGCATATTTGGAAATCACTGAATTAAAATGATGTATATTTTCTGGGAAGTAAAGAGTGGCTTAAGGGTACGCGGTAGCGTATTTTGTTGAGGAACTATGCTACAAGCCTGAAGGTCGCGGGATCTAATCTCGATGAGATGGACTTTTTCAATTGACCTAATCTTTCCAGCCGCACTATGGCCCTGGGGTGGACTCAGCCTCTAACAGAAATGAGTACCAGGAATGTTCCTGGGGGTAAAGGGCGGTCGGCGCGTAAGGCTGACAATCTCACTTCCATCTGTTAGCCGATTGTCTAGAAAACGTGGGAGCCTCGACGTCTCAGAACCCTATGGGTCTCCACGGCCTGTTACAGGGATAGCTTTACTCTTCTAAGAAGTGAATTTTAAGTTATTATGTAGGTCTGCTATTTACTCAGTACTCCTATATTGTTCATATATATATATACGTATTTCAACGTTCCGATCGATCATTACCTTTAACGCTAGCGCTTCAGACGTTAGTAATGGTATATACCACTGAACTCTTTTGTCCAGAGCGTAACCACGTAAAGCTGATGTTATATTCCGTGTTTCCCCTTATAACTTATCATATTGTGGTTTTCTGGGGTATAAGAGGGTTTTGTAGTCTGCTAACGTTTCGGATGAATTGTGTGCCATGATCAGAGCAGGTGTTGAAAGTGTCCGCCGTTTTCAAGCAGGCACTAGAAACACTCGCTGTTCAACAGTGAACTCCATGACCGTCGCCTGCGCACTGCAGACACGTTTCGGCATTGTCCTTGACCTTGCAGCATAAGGGCTGCCACTTGCCTTATCATGCGCACACCATTCGACTCAGCACGGCCCACGGATTATTATGTCGTAATTGTGAGCGGTTATATGCATCACCTGCGGAATTATTAGCAAATTCATCGGGCCGGTTCTATACGATTCACCCTGTATAAACAGACGCAGCAATATTTAGGAGGACTCGTAAGTCACGACGACTTTGTTTCCTGAGCTAGCTGATCGGCAACTTTTAATATTGCTACCGGAAATATTTGCAATATATTTTTTCTCTCTGAAAATTGCAGGCATTTCCTTCAACTCATATTTATTATCCATTGGCACTATTACAGAAACACGGGAAAGGCCTTTACGCGGAATATCCATCTCTTACGAAACACGTGTAGGAAGCAGTGAACAAAAGAAGTAGCAGTTTTGCGAATAAATCTGCAGTGCGGCTTTTGAAGGAGTAAACTTTTTTAATCTTTTCCGACATTTCCTCTTTTTTTTCCATTTCCTTTCTCCGGAAATATTTCATATCCATTCTAAAGTTTGAATTTCTATTGTACTTACTCGTGTATCCATACAGGAAACAGAGTATTAAGAGGAGAGTAAAGCTAGAGGCAGAACCAAGCCTTGTCACCAAGAAAACTTCATGCTGCCATGTAACTCCAGGACTTGTCTAGTCGATGCAGAAATATCTGCGTTATTAAAGACTATATACAAAGCATGGTCTAAAGTGAAGTAAAGCTAATTTAAGCACCATGCCGAATCGACTTTAAATGGAAAGCAGTGGTCAGTTTCACTCTTTAATCGCTTGAATTCCAGAGAAAGAAGCACAAATCCGGTTTGCACTCTGCGAAATGAAAAATATCTTGCCTCTGCCCGGCATCGAACCCCGGTTTTTCCGTTGTCAGAACCTTAACTTTTTTAATATTGTCACCTGTATTAGTGACTGAAGACGGAGTTAGGATTGGAAATTGGATTTATTAACCACCTACAGGTCGTAACTACAATTAATTATTACACTATTGCTGATTTACACAATTTACCGTCACCCCACACTAATCTTCTCAGTCTGCTTTCACTAGTCTTCATTATCCGTTTATTGGTAAAAGATTTGTAGCTCAGGAACAATAAACGTCTCGCTAAATTACACACTCCCAATACCGACGTACTACAGCACACGTAACGTCACATACTAAGTCATCTAATTCTTCTCCTGGCCACACTACTGTTCCCTTGGAACGTCGGGACTCAAGTGAAGTCAATTCCCATTCCCGTATTCTCGCATATCTTGTCGGCACGGACCACGCACAGAAAACACAACCCCTCTATCGGTGCATGGCGTAGACCACACAGAAAACACTCTCCTCGACTGTTGCGTGACGTCACCGCGCACGCGTAGACGTGTTTACTGAGCCGTTGTCTGGCAGTGCGTCACAGTATCTTTGGGTTGGGTGAGACTGAGTCCGCTTGGTACGTCGGCCACTATTTGAGCTATTGTACCAACCCCGGACGGTAGGTGATGATGAATGTGGAGCATTCGGTGGAATGAGAATTGGTATGGGAAACCGAAGTACTTGGAGTAAACCTGCTCCAGTATTATTTTGTCCACCACAAATTCAACATGACCTGACCTGGGATCGAACCCGGGCTGCTGCCTTGGAAAGCCTGAGCTATGGCACTGCCTAAGCCGAAACTTAGTCACTATATTAACTGAGCTATTAATTTCGATTATCTGTAAACCCGTTGAATATAATTATAAATGAACATAAGATTTCTGGTTGCGTGAGTTCCTTGCGCTATAATATATGACTGATAAAACAGCATTGTCGCGTTGTGACGAAGGCTTTGACATTTTTCTACTGAAATTTATGTTTTACCTTTCCCCATCGAAACTAAAGCCTAAAAAGATTCAAATAGTTTTACTTTCGTTTTGGTTTTGCGGTATTTAATTTTGGATTATAAACATAGTGGAAGTATGGTAGGAGGGCACAGATATTTCGGAGAGAACTATCGCCTCCAACTTCATGATAGTAATGTGTATTTAAAGTGTGTTCATCCGAAACTTTTGTATCCAGTTTTAGAATTTGTCAATATAAAAAAATAAAATTGTCACTAAAATTTCCAAAGATATTACATCTGGGGGGGGGGGCACGCGGTAGCGTAGTTGGTTGACGCACTACGCTACAAGCCGTACGTTCTCGGGTTCTAGCTCCGATCAATAGGATTTTTTAAACGACCTTATCCTTCCAGCCGCACTGTGGCCCTGTGGTCGACTCAGCCTCTAATAGAAATGAGTACCAGGAATCTTCCTGGGGGTAAAGTGTGGCCAGTGCGTAAGGCTGACAACCTCACCGCCATCTGTGAGCCGATTGTCTTGATAATGTGGGAGCCTCAACGTGTCACAACCCTATGGGCCTCCACCGTCTATTACAGGGATACCTATTATTACCTTTGGTTTAAAGAATTGCAACTCTACCCACTGTCATAAAACAGGTTTCATTGAATAGCTTTTGTATGGCGAATCAAAATTAGTTTGGTGTCCAGTATACATTTCAGTTACTGGTTTAAAGCAATATATCTTACTTGAAATTTCAATATAAATCGCTTTAGCTATAGAAACACTGTCAGTCTTGTTGATTCGCAATAAAAAAGAAATATCGAAAGAAAAGGAAACATAAAAAAGTTGTAAAATAAAATTGTTACGGAGTAAAGCCATCAGAGTCGATATGGAAAGGAGTCCACATTGGTATACAGCGTGATGGCTTTATTCCTTTGTGCCTTCCTTTTTGTTATATTCAGCTATGGCCTTAACTTTCTTTCCATAACTGCTGCTCCTCGAATATGCAAATATGACGCGAGTATACATAATAAATAATAAATGAATGGATCGTCTGGAGAGAAAATGGCATAATTTAAAGTGTGTTCTAAAGAATATTAAATTTATGGAATCAAATTAATTTAAACTCTCTGCATGTTTCAGGTTTCTCTTCGAGTTTACATCGCATTATGAAGCAGCAACACTTCGTAAAGGTAACAGATATTCATGATATTCATCCATGTTTATTTAATTACTCTATTTACTTAATTAAACACTTTCTCCGTAGCTTAGCGAATACGATTTTGAATAAGAGGATTGTCATTGTGTGATTATTTCGAGAAGGTGTGGAAGAAGATGATTGTGGCTTATCTAGTTTGAAATACAACGCTCTTTTTTTTAGTTATTGATGAAATCCAAGAAAAATATTGTCACAGTTCTACTGACAACAGACGGGTTTTGTACTGGGGTCGAATACCTCTACCGTGACCCTGCGAGTCGTAGGAGGTAACGAAAAGGGAAGTCTCGAATCCGAGACAGTAAAATATGGTTGCGAGTCCCACGTTACTCGTGTTTTATTCCAAGACAGACTGACCGACTGACCGTCGGCCGTAATATGAAAATCAAACTCAGTTGAGATCAGAATTTTTTTTTATTTATCATTTATTAGCAATCTGAATTTACATTCTATGAGCTAATTTGCTGTCATGTACAATAATTATTCTATTGTACTAAGTTGGCTTGAAGAGCTGTAATCCATCGATTACACCTCAGTTTTCCTGGAGATCGTTTGGCCAAGTTCGTCTTAGTCTTCTGTATTGTGTAGGTTGAAGGAGAGCTTCTATTGCGTTGTTGGGGTGAGATTCCAGTTTCTGATAATGTTTTTGGATTCTGTCTGTGATTACGGTTCTTACATATGGGATCTTGAGGTCGGTGTGAAGAGTTTGGTTTGACACGTACCAAGGTGCGTCAACTATGGCTCTAAGTATTTTGGATNAGATCAGAATTGAGTTTAAGGCCAGCCTGTGAAGAGAAGAATTTATATGAGCTGCAGTTACATTGAGACTTATAAATCCGTTGCCAGGATACGGCTAGTGAAGACTGAGAAGATTTATCGTGTCCTAGTGATCTGTGAAGAATGTAGATTAGTGATAGCGCTGTAATTTATTGTGATCAAGAGTGATTGTACAAGGAGTGATCAATAAATCCAATTACGAATCCAAAACCACTCCTTAGACTCTAATACACGTGAGAATATTTTGGAAGAATGTGGGGGTTAATCAGATTTGAGTTATTAACCCAGAGTTTGCCTAGGGAGATCGACGAAAACACTTAACGACCTCCGATGCCACAGTCCTTTCGAGAGCGAACTTCACAAGCCACAGCCAAGGCCGATGAGTCGCAGTTGTGGCGTACATGGGAAACATTCAAATTTCGCTTGACGTTCACAGAGTGACTAATGGAGCGAGTATCGAAAAATCTCCAGATAAACTTTATGAGTTTCCATGCTGTTTTCAAGTTCTTTCATGTTTGTGCCTGTAACCGTTTCGAAAATACATTAATTTCTTTTCACAGAGCTCGTTTATAACGTCTCTGTATATTTTGCTGCGTACTGATAGAAAAAACGGAGTACCCCCAGTGATTAGTTACTCCTTTACAGTGAAAATGGAACCACGCTCTTTTGCCACGTTGTTTTAAATTAGTTCTTGGAAGTGTTTTTGTTGTTTACTACAATTTTCTTAAAGTGGAACTACATCGTTTTTGCACTGAACCCTTCGGTTGTTTTCGATTTGGCCGGTAATAGTTTTTCATTGCCTGGCCATTGTTAATTAAAATATGAAGAAGAGGTATAATGATTTTGGTTCATTCATTCAGTCGACCTCCATTGTGTTCTATATATATACAGGATACATCACCTCCTGACGGTCTCTGTCACCGGTCAGTCACACGATAAATGTTTCAGCGGCGCAGGGAGGAATGAATACATGCAGCAAAAATATTGTATTGGAAGAACAGCGGAATTAATACAGTTATTTACGTTTTGTACAGTAAATAATTAAGCCTTGCTCATAGCGGCTTTGGAATAATTGCAACAATATTTTCATGTGTTGGGGGATACGCGTGACGAAAATAAGGGGTTCTAGATCGGATGATTGGATTTATTGGCACTTGGGTTACAGCCTCTGTTAATTATAATCATTGCAGCGCTATCGCTGATTTACACAATTTACAGTTCACTGTTGCGCACGCGCTAGGTTTCTCAGTTTTCACAAGTCATCTCCTGGCAACGGATCTCAACACAGAAAGTAAAGTAGCACATCAAATGACTATAAAATATTCTTCATATTTCATGTTGAATCACCCTGGAACCTCGGAACTCAATTAAAAGCGCTCTTTAACTACAAACGGACTCTTGTTATATAGCCGCGGCACGGACAACACGGAAAACACAATTATACTGTTGAGCAGCGGAGAACACACAGAAATCAAGTCACGCGATAGTTGAGTACTGTTGGAGTGTGACGTCATTGCGCCTGCGCGGAAGAGTGTTTACAGGGACGTTGAATAGAAGCGGGTTGCATAACTCCCTTGTTCCAGTGTTGATGCGTATATTACTTAGAAAAGGCTGTTTCTGAGGCTTAACCGTTCTTCCATGGGGTAAATGTGCCACAATAGTAACAAAACAGAAAAATAATTTTATATCATTATGAAATATTAGCTAAAATTCTGTCATTTGAAAACATCATCTGTGACCTCATATGCAAATATTGTATATTTGTTCAGCCATGTACACAATGTCAGATTTTTAGTATTCTCAACATTTCGGGAGAATCATCTTCCGATGATTAGATGTCATTACACAGGCATACATTTCTATCTTAATAGTGTGCATCCTGTTGTATGTTGTGAATAAGATATATAAGTATATAAGACATGCCGTTTACACAACAATATTCTGTATTTAAAAACAAAGAAGACATTGCTGTATCAACAAAAATAAAAACAGAATAAAAGCAAATGTTGATACAGTAGTGTCTTCTTTGTTTTGTAATTACAGAACATTGTTGTGTAGACTGCATATCTTATATACTTTTGTATATCTTATATGTTTCTATTTAAGTTCTGTTATCTGCTGTATTATTGACAACACTCGGAATTGGACCCAAGGTCCTGTTTGTTGGATTTGATATCCTTACTGCGATAGCTATGGAAAATTATTTATCTTCTGGGATATAAGGCACTGCAGTCAGGTGAAATTTAACGGAAACTCAGCGTCTGATCCTGTTTTCGACTCGGTTCAAACTGGTTTATTGTTTCTTTTTGTTTCGATCCTGAAGATAGAGGCAATATGCTCCTCCGAAACATCGATTCACTTTCATCGTACTACAATCCGTTATACTGAAGACAGAAATCATACAAATCCTCTCTAATTGTTGTTTATTTAAGAGGTTTGCCTGTAGCTCAGGCTGCATAGCGTCTAGGATTATTAGCGGGCAATGAATGGGAAAGGATTTGGAAGGAATTAAACGTAGCCTGGTTTGAAATGTTAAGTCGGAATTTGTATGTAGGGACTGAAGGATACTGCAATAAACCTCGGTTAGGATAACTGGTATCGTGGTCGAAATTCGAACTGGGAACCTGCTCAATAGAAGTGAGAAGCATTCACCTCTGATCCTACTCAATCGTTATCTGGATTCCTTACTACGCTAAAGTTTCGGCCTTACCATCGTAATGTACGCCAGTGCATATACAGGGTGTCCCAGAATTGAAGTTCGGTATTCTGCGAGGTCAAGTGTGTGTATATCTATACTTTTTTGCTCAGAATGACCGACACTATGACCTCCCAGAATATCGACCTTTCCTCTTAGGACATTTTGTGTAGCTGTCACGTTATGCTTTCCGTGTTTCACAGATGGGACATGTTATTTAAAGGACTTCTGTCCGTCTGTATTCATCCGATTTGTTGTCTCTATTGCCCTCACGCTTTTGTTTTCTAAGCGGACACAGTGTTGTGCTGTCTTCGTATCTGTGCATGGAGAGGTTTTCTGCGAGTGCTGTGGCCTCCCCTGCCAGTTCTCATTCCAAGAAATGCTTCTTTTCTCTAATCTAGGATTGATAAAATGGACCATTTAAGGTTAAGTACCAACGGGCCGTGTTTCATCCTACCCTGTGAATAACAAGCAAGTGAACGCTCTTCTATTTGTCTGTGTCATCTTCATCAAATTTAGAATTATTTGTTTTTATGAAACGTGAAATATACTACCCTTTACAGAAAGGAAGACTTTATTTCTTTCCTTTCCAGATTCAATTTAGGAAATTAAATCTTATTCTTGTATGTTCAAGCAGCTTGTAGCTAATATTATATATATATAACAGTGTGCGTATTTACTCTTTTCACAAAACAAACTGTATACAACAGATATATTACTCTTTTACATTTTTCAAGATTTGATATCTTTAATAATCTCACTAAAATACATTCTAATATTATATGCCTATCTATTCTTAAGTTTCCTAACCATATTTTTAGACTGTGGTACCCCGATCAAAATAGTGTTTGCATATCTCATATTTCACAACCGTTAAAATCCCCCTTTATTCAATAACTTTAAAAATAATGTGACATGATGACGGTATAGCTTAACAAGAGAAGCAGTCCTCTGCTACGCAACGACCGGCAAACCACATCTGACAGCTGGTTTTCGCGGCAATAGATACGCACAAAACCAAAGAGGAAATGCCGGAAAGGTCGTTTTCTATTGAGTTCGCCCTATTCAGTGCACAGCGTGGAGGCGGGTTCGAATACCTCCACCATAGTCTTGCGAGTCGTAGGAGGTGACAAAAAAGGAACTCAGTTTCTGTGGGTATAGATCTGCAATACATCCGGTTACCAATCTGAACCCCGTGTCTAGTCATTAAATTTGTGACGGTATCAAGAGTACACTTTTTTTTCTTTGGCACTACAGCCCCAGTGGGCCTAGGTCTACCTCCATGAACTTCTCCGTTCACTTCGGTTTCTCTAGATCTTACACATTCGGTAGGACTCCTTGGGCGGGTGATCAGCTCGTCGCAAGGCCTCAACCTGTACACAAACACAGAGAAACGCACACAAACATCCATGCCCTGAGTGGGATTCGAACCCACGATCCCGGCTTCCGAGCGAGCGAAGACAGTACATGCCTTAGACCGCTCAGCTACCGTGACCGGCAGAGTA